CCAGACCTGGGCCGGGGTGGCTCCCCACGCCTGGCTCCGGGCGGGGCAGGTTCACACTTCACCCAGACTTCCTCCCGCTCGATATCCTGTCTGCCCTTCCTCGACGTTTCAGACAGACATTACACAAGCCACTGCTGCGGGAGGTTGAGAAACAAGACGCCGCTTACCCTCCACGGCCCCACACTGGCCTAGGGCTCCAGGGTGCAGCAGAGGACAGGGCTGAGGTCTACTCAGTGTTCCTGTTGCCCTCAGAAGGCAAGGGATCCAGCCCCGCTCCCAGAGGGAGTCTGCAAACTAGAAGGACTGTGTCAATGGATCGGGCAGAGAGAACAGCCGACACGAGGCTCTGCTCCCTGCAGGGAAGGACCAAGGGCATCTTGAGGTGTGGACAGGGCCAGGGTGCAGGCAGAAATGAGAACTCACGTTTCAGCCACCACTCCTCTATTTGAGAAGATCCTATCAGCCTTTACTGCAGAGCCCTCGCCCTATGACCAGGGTGAGACCTGCAGACCCATCCTTGGCTGGGGGCCAGTACTCATCCAGAAGCCTGGCCTCAGGGTACTAGACATGGCAACTGCTTTTTCAGTCCAGTTCCAGATGAGCTTGGCATCATCGCTGACCCTCATGAAAACCTAGAGCAAACCGCAGCTGTAGTGAAGACGCCAGTGCACAAAGGGACAGTTGACCCTCAGAAACACTGCCCAGACCTGAGGGCGGCAGGGTGAACGAAGTCCCTGAACACTGAGGAGGGCATCTGGGAGGACACAGGTCAATTCTAGCAATTCCTGATGCTGTTCCTTCCTTGTGGCAATTTCAGCTCAAAAAGCAGAACGTGGCTGACTCAGAGAGGGTTCTTAAGTCCAGCAACCCCCTTTCTGGCCTCTCTATGTAAAAGCTACAGTCATTCATCAAAACACACCTCAGGACTGGACGCTCACTGAGGCTGACCACCAGGCTATGTAGTTCACCCGAAGGAAATGCTGCCTCTGACCCGCGGAAATGACGAAGCAACGCGGGTGAGAAAGTACAAATGCCAGGAATTTAGGCAACCCCATCACTGCTGTGCCCTCTCCACACAGAGCTTTCTCCACACCAAGGAGTCACCAGCCCACAGCTCCATAAAATACACTCCGAACCACACAAAGAACAATTCCCCGTAAAAGATCTACAAACTCGAGGGTCTGAAAGACAAAGGGAGATCCGATCATATAAATCCCAAATCTTCCAGTCAAAGGAACATTCAAACCACAAGCAGGTCTAGTCACGTTAGTGCAGGCTAGCAGACACTGCCACTCAGCTGGCTGAGGCCACATGGAGGCTCAGGTTCGATTCCTGGCCCTCTCAAAAAGCCAAGTATGGTGGTTAAACGCCTGCATTACCAACCATATGGGAGGCTGAGGCAGAAGATGACAGCACAGTGAGACCCTCTAGAAAAAAATGTATATAAAAATCCACAGCAACAGTTGAAAGGAGCCTGTTTTTCAGCTCAAGGGAGGCACTACACCATCTTGTTGTCCACCAGAAAGGGAAGCACTTGGTAACCCAGTGAGACATCCTGTGGGATAAGGAGCCATGTTCCAGGAAGCAGGCCAAGTGGAGCTCAAATTGCCACCCCCCAGTCTCCCTCTGACAGCAATCTATGCCAGTAAAAAGAATTCGTCCAATTTAGTCTGATAGCTATTTAAAAAAAGGAAAAAACAAGGGAGGACAGAGTCAGACAGGCCAAAGAAAAGGGGAGTGGGAGTAGGGAGGCTCAGAGGGCCCTGTCTCTCTGCCACTTTTTCACAGCAGCACGCAGTTTTGTTCCCCACCTATGCCCTGCCTGTGACACTCAACACACTAATAAAAACATTAGTCCCCAGTCTGCCCATTAGGAATCAAAGGCCCAGAGACATTAAGCAACTTTCTAAAGGTCACACAGCCAGTGAGCGACAGAAGGGGGATGAGACCAACCCCATAATATTGTACAGCCAGCTGGCTCACTGTAGGACACCCACCAAGGAGAGAAGCTACAGGGGTCCCTAAAAGTTGACTCACCAATCACCCAGGCAGCCCACAGGGCTCTGAGCTGTACCAGCAGGAAGCTCAGTCTGACAGCCACTGGGCAGCCATGAATGTGGCACTCCCATGACATTAGTGGGGGTGAGGGGGACATCTCTGAAGACCACCTTCAATCTTTCATGTTGTCACAGTACCACTGACATGCAAGGGCCTCAGGCATAGATACCTGCACTCAGGGTGTCTAGGGCTCAAAGTTGGAACCACATCCCTGCTCAGTTCCATACTGGGGCAACCACGGGAACCACCACCCCACTGCAGCCAAGCCTCAGGAAGCAGGGCAAGCAAAGGTAATCAGGGCCCCAGGGACTCTGAGAACATCACTGACCTCTCCCCACCACAAGTGGCAGAGAAACACTGACTCAGTCTTGCTCAACAGCTGCCCTACCGCCACCACCACTCCTCCAAGCAAACCCCAGAAAAGCATTTCAGCAGAGCCTATAGGCCTTCTGGGAGTAGTGTCCCCTACAAAGAGCATTCCAGTGCATTCTTTGTTCCTTGTGCTCTCATCCTGGGTGGATCAAAAATATTAAAATAAGCTACAGAGGAAGTGAAGAAATCAAAACATATCCCCTGAGTAAGCTGTCAAGAGGCAAGTGGGAGAACCCAATGGAGTCTGGTAACAGCACTCGGGGGTTGGGTCCTTCCAGATCATACGTGGACAACGACTCCCTCCTCAAGTGGTGCACCTCCCCACCCGCCTGCAAGTACACAAACAAGCACACAGTTATCCTAGGGAGACCTGAAGGGAACCACCCAGCACACAACTCTCAACAGCATGGTCCCAGTCCCAGAGCTAAGAGAGTACACAGGGAACCAGAGCAGAACCCGGGCCACAGCACCACAGAGACCTGCAGCAGTGGCAAGGCCGGCAGGAAGAGCACCCCACAAGGAAAGTGCGTGGGAGTTGGCAACTGTGCAGGAGCCAGGCTGAAGCCACCACTGCAGGAGCAGGGCCAGGGCCAGGGCTTCTACTCAAGTCTGGAAACTCCATCTCTCACACCGAGTATGTCTTCATTCTTACTCGGGAAATCTTTCTGATCAGTAAATGAGGTTTCACAGCAGTGCTGGTGAGGTCTAGAAAGGGAAAAGTAGCTCCAAGCCATCTGTGGGAATGGCCAGAGCAAAGCCTGTGCCAGCCTCACCTCTGTGACCACAGCACAGGGCCCCATCCTGCCCTCTCCATGAGCACGTCCAGAACCACAGGATTGGCCATAGGGGAGGAGGCGGCTGGATGGCCTGGGCCCCATCCCCCAGCAGCTGTGACAGAGAGGTCCTGCTGGCCATTCTGTCTAGTCCCAGAAAAGGGCAGGAAGACAGAAAGACCACGTACACACATGACCCAGAGTTGGACAAAAACAAACACAGACACACCCTGCTCAGACAAGCCCCGGCTCTGGAGATGAGTGACATGAATGTTTCTCTGCAGCTTGCACTTGGCCACGGTCAGCCAGCTCCAGTCTGCCCAAACCCACCACAATTCTCTGCATGCATGGAGTTTTCAAGCCACCTAGCAGGCAAGAATATGGATACCCCAAGTGGAATGGCCCTCAGTTTACAGGGAGCACCCAGATGCCAGCCAACAGCCAACTCCCCATCTGAAATGAAGGGACACAGCCTGCTGGGATCTGTCTGCAGCCTCCCCCACCCCACAAGACGGCCGACAGCTGCCCTGGGGCACTGGCCTAGCAGGGGCAGAGCCACGCTGAACGCACAGGCGCACACATGCACACACAGTCTCAGCAGCCCCCTCCTAGCAGAGGCGACAGTCCCTCGCCTCCACAGCCCCTCCTCCCCCAGGCTCTGACACTCCGCTGGAGGGGCGCCCAGAGAAAACCGGGCTGGAGCATCTATTCACAGATTTAGAAAAAAAGTTTGATGCAATAGCTGAATTAATTAGGCCTCCCAAGAATAGCTGAGCCAATGCAGCATTCTGTGTGTGCAATTTAATAAGCCTGGATATTTAAAAGAAAAGTTACAAACACTGGAGGGAGGGGTCCAACAGAAAGTTCCTGAGGCTGTCCCAGTAAATGTTTCAGCATCTAGTGGCTCTGGAGCGGACCAGGCCAGATTCCACAGACCCCGTGAATGGCGAACACAGCCTCAAAACCCTCCACACCGCATCCTTTTGTGTTTCACAGAAGAACAGAAGGAAATGGGCAAGTCCAAAACAAATCACAGGCCCTCAGTAACTCCAACACTCGGGTCCTCATGATGCCCACTGACCAGGCCCTGTGCTGGGCGCCAAGTGGCCCTCATCCCCACACAAGGAACTCAGACTCGCTCTCTGGAAGGCCCAGGGACACCAACAAACACAGGACTGGAGTCCCCAAGTCTCGGCCCCCTGCCACTGCAGCCCGGACACCTGGCTTCATTTTGGTGTCAGTGTCCCCAGACCCCAAGGCAGAAAACAGGAGCACTAGTAACAATGGTAGGCGCCACCTTGCCAAAGCCGTCTGCTGCAGGCCAAGGGCAGGCACTCCTCTGTCTGCTAGTCTGGAAACCCTCTGGAGTGAGGACAGCAACCTTCACCCCAACACTGTCTGGACTTCTCATCAGAGGCACCAGAGACCTGGGCCTCACTCAGGCTTTGGTCCTAGGTCCCATGATACCTAGTTTCCTGGAGCTCAGGGCAGGCATCTTTCTAGAGCGTCTGCAAGGTCTCTGCCTTCCCGGCCTAATTGGCCAATGACTATACGCTCCCATGTGGGCCTCTGGAGGGCTTTTCCATTCACCAGACCTGGCCCCCAACTCCGCCTCTGACTTAGGCTTCTCCTGGGGGTCAGGCAGGAGGGGCCTTCCTCCCTGGGCCGTTCAGCCTGGTGGAAGTGAACGCTGACACTGCCTGAATTTCCTTAGAACACAAAACCCCGAAGCAGTGGGGAAGGCAGAACACAGGTCACAGACTCCAAAGACCCAGGAGGGCCCCTGGGGACACTCACCCGGGGCACCCGCCGCTTGTACTTGTTGCCGTAGTCGAACTTTTCCTTCACGTCGTCCAGGCAGCGGCCCAGACGAGCCTGCTCCTCCTTGCCCGTGTAGTCCTGGCTCAGCAGGATGTAGGCCCGCCAGTTGGCAGAGTCGAAGCCCCAGTGGCAGGTCCGGTTCTCCAGGGCCTTGTGCGAGTGCACCACAAACTTGTGCGGTGGATACATGAGGCGGCAGTCGAGGCACTGGATGCAGGCGGCACTCGGGCTGCTGTAGAGCTCGGGCACCAGCAGCCCCTTGCACTTGCCGAAGCACTCGTGGTACACGCGGACGCTGCGCTCGCTGAGCTCCAGGCCCAGCGCCAGGCTGGCGGCCAGCTCCTTCTTGCAGGGCGGCGGGTAGGCGCCGCCGTAGAGCAGAGCGGTGCACAGGCGGTCGGCGTCCGGCT